AATAAGCTACTTTGAATGAACGATGATAAAAAAACTCGTTCATTCAATGTCGCTAATTTCTAGAAAAATAGAACGATTCTATTTAGTGTAGTAAATTAGTGGGTAGATAGTAAAAGAGTGAATCTTATTTTTGTATGTTTTTATGTGTGTGTACTTGCAAATATGATTATCTCTATTTATACATATATATACATATACATATATTAATTATATATTTATATGTTCTTAATATATTACCCGCTGCGATTAGTATCTCTTTTTTGAATTTTAGTGTGTTATTATTATTATATATATATATTCTACAATTGAAAATTTGTTATCACATTACGTGCTGCTGAATTTAAATAATTAGTCAAATAATTAGTTACGCCATTTTAGAATTAGCGAAATGAAAAACACGCGTACGTAGTAGTTTAGAATTTCTTTTACGATTATTAATTAACAATATTAATGAATAATTAATATATATATGTATATATACATACCGTAATTATACCATGAATTTTTATGATCATTTTCTAGTGATATACATATATATATACATATTTATTTTTGATAAATTTACTAATTACGTGTTCGTAGTTTTAGGTGATAACACAATGGTCATTTTCTACAAAAAAAAATTCTGCTTATCATTCCTTCGTCGTGTCCATATTAACGACATGATGTATTATATCTCTAATTCAACTCTTTTTTTTTTAATTAACCGACTCTTGTGGCGTTTAATGATCGGCCATTTTGATGCTGCTGATTAACAAATAACTCGTCCAACGTGTTGCTTCGTCAAAGCCAATTTTTTTCAGTTGGAAGAACTGGGGGATATCGATTTCTTGGTCAATGCATGATATGTGAACAAGGTCAAGGTGTGATCATCGTCTTCTTTTATCAACAAAAAAAACAACCTTCGTCGATATGTGTTTCTCTCTTTGAATCATTCATTTGTTTATGTTTCATCTCCTGAACTATATTTTTATTCGAATAGAAATAAACACAAACGCACCACACATACGTTTCAAAAAACCAAGTAAGCTTTCGGTTTATTGAAAAAATAAAATAAAAACAGGACACCACCCAGAGAGGTTGACGTCACACGCCTATTTCAAAAACGTCATTCGATGGTATATAAAAATAAAAAATTTGTTTTCTTTTTTTCACGATCGATGATCGAGATAAGAATGTTAACCACGCGGGTTTATTTTTTCCCCTTTCACAATTCGTCTACGATATTTTTCAGTATTCTCACACACACACGCATATATCACACATCATGGCACACCCCACAGTTCGTAATGTCTCGATGGCATCTCTTTAAGCTTCCTTTCTGGTTGGATTTCTCGCGGGGTGCAATCCATATCCAGAATCTCGATCGCGTTTACGTCAGCTGGAAATACACTCGAAATAGATGAACTCTTGACCTAGATCCCTATGCGTCCGCTGTTTTCGGTGAACTGAGATGAAGAAGAGGAAGAAAGGAGTAAGAAGAAAGATAGAATGATCTTCGAATGTTATTGAAAAATCTAACTTTTCTTTCTTTCCTTCTTTTTTATTTTTAGTTTCTACTTTATCCCATTTCTATCTCGATTCATACAAAACATAAATCGTATTAACCCTTTGGGTACATTTGACGAGTGAGACTCGTCATCTGCTTACTTGAACGAAGTTACGGTGGTCATGTCTGACTCGTCATCTGAATTTAAGAAACTTATATAATTATATAAAATATATTTTATATATTTTATCATTTACATATTTAATATATTTAATATATATTATTTAATATATATATTTATTATATTTTAATTCTATAAAATATATTTAATATATTTTAATAATTATATAAGTTTTTAATATATTTTAATACATAAATATTTCTATTCTTTTTCATTTATATATTTATGTATATTTTGTAATTGAAACGTTATTTGCAAAAATATATATTTATTTCACCAATATAAATATATTTTAAATAAAATATATTACTTTTACATATATTAATCCATATAGCAACAAATTAAATCCATTATATAAGCATACAAATCTTCAAATAATTCAGTACTTAAAGGGTTAACTTGTTAACCGGGGGAATTCCCTTTTTAATTACGCACCTTTTTTTATTATAATATTTTTTTATTATTTTTTATATATTTATTTATATATTAATTATTACTATTTATGCCTA